CGAGAACTCAAAGTGCCTCCGAGTCGAGTGGCTCCGTCGAGAGGGCCCCGTCGTATCGGGGCCACCGATCACCTGGCCCTCGGAAAAGCTTATCCGCCTACTGCCTGCTTACCTGGCTGCTTGCCTGCCTGCTTACCTGCTTACCTGGCTGCTTGCCGACCGACGACGAATGAGGAGAGAGCGGGAAAGATAGATACCTACGACTCCGTTTGAGAATCCTTCTTCGTGCCGTTCTCAGGAAAGCCGTGCCACCCAAGGAAAGTCCGTGACAACGCCTTATTCTAAATCCAAACTTACACACAAAGACGGCCACATCGATTCCGTTTCAATGATCCATTTTCCTTATTAATATCTATCCCTCTAATTTTACCTATCAACCTTTCCAATTGGAAAAAAAACCTAACTGACAAACTTTCAAGACAATCTACGCGTAATCCTCTCATTTTAAATCTGAAGAAAGTTGGAAAAGTCGAGGGTGAGACGACACCACCACCATCACCACCAACCACCGGATCGATGATCCGATCGCGGATACGTTCCATTAACGCCGCGAACTCCAATTGTGTTAAAAGGTAACGATTAGTTTTCTTTCCGTGTGGAATGTTAAGGAGAGAAGGTGCATTCTAAGCGCACCCACCGCCTTTAAACTGAGAGTGAGTCTACGAGAAAGAGAAAGAAAGAAAGAAAGAAAGAAAGAAAAGAAAAGAAAGAAAAGAAAGAAAAGAAAGAAAGAAATCTCCATACGAACTAGAAGGAATAAACGTTAATATATATATAGATATATAGATATAGATATCTATAGAGACGAAGAAGCATAGTCGCCCTGGTGGTGAGATTGCCATTGCGCTCGCAGAAGAAGGAACGAGCGTGATCGCGATAAAGAAACAATCGAACTCGGTCCCGCCCACGAGACCGCCAACATTCAATTGTGTCTTCTCTCCTCCTCCTCCTTCTCTTTCCTATTATCATTTTTTTTTCTCTTTTTTCCTCCTCTTTCTCTTTTCAACTCTTTATTCATCTCTATCCTCCCCCCTCCTATCCATTTTAATTCGTTCTTTTCTCTCGCGTTCGGTGCTTCGAAGTTGCGTCTCGTCGGATAAGACGCTTAACGGTATTATATACATATATATATATATATATATATATATATATAACCCTTGCGGAATTGAATCAAATATATATTCTAGCTTTAAAAAAAGAAGAAAAAGAAAAAAAAACAACGAGGGAGTGAGATCGACAATTCGTGTTTCAAGGTCAAGCAATTGGAAGAAAAAAAAAAAGAGAAAGATTACAACGTGACTTCGTCGAAAAGGAAAAGGATTCGGACGAGAAAGGACAATCACCCGGATCATCCTTCGAACTCTCTCTTGCTCTCTCAAAAGAGAGGTGAATCGGCCGGGATTACGCAAGCGTGGAGTAATTGAATATCGGTAGAGGAGGAGACATTGTTGTCATACCGCAAGTACCGTTCCACCTTGCTTTACAATGAAATGTAATAATAAAAGGGGAGTGGTACCCTAGGAAAGATTCTGATTTCATTATTACACCATGCATAAACCAATGTAGAGAACGAATTATCATAGTCATCGACGAAATAAGTTGACGCTGCAGAAAATATCCTTTAACATCGTACGGATAGTTTGAGAGAGACTATGAGATCTTTCGCAAGTCGTTCGACCGCAACTACGACGATGACGACGAGCAAACGAAAGAAAGAAAGAAAAAATATTGGCTTCGTATATGTGAGCTGTTTAGAGCTCATTAGCTGACGATTATATAGATGAAGAAGAAGCAGATGAAAAAAAAAAAGAACAGAAAAAGAAAAAGAAGAAGAAAAAGAAGAAGAAGAAGAAGAAGTGGTAGTATCGGTGTTGGTACTACCGATCTAGCAATGGCGGTACCATTTATGGGAGAAAAACGCATTCACCCCGAGCCGTCGTCCTCGTCGTCATTATCATCATCCTCCTTCTCCTCCTCTTCTTCTTATTCTTTTCTCTCTCTCTCTTGGTCTAACGTCCCAGGTCTTCCGCAGCTCGCGAAGAAGGTGGACTTTCGAAATCAAGCGGTCTCTCACTCGTTCGTTCGTTCGTTCGTTCGATTCGTGCCGTTCGCTTGCTCGGAGCATCGGCGGCGTTTTCCGCGGCAGCGTGCAAAGGTCATACAAGGAACGGGCCGCGCGTCACATGTACACCGTTGAGAAAAGAGAGAGAAAGAGAAAGATGCGCGAGTAAAGTAAGTACTTCTTATGTATATACGTTAGTTCATTCGTTCGTTCGTTCGTTCGTTCGTTCGTTCGTTCGTTCTCTCTGCTAAAAGTCGGGAAAAGAAGAGAGAACTTACTCTATACGAGAAAGAAGCCTAAGATAGGACGTGTATTCGCGCACGCTCGTGCACGCTCCTCAACTATAGGGGGAGGTCAACCGAGAGGTAACCGGCAACGACCGCCGAGCCCCGTTCTCCGAGATATGCACCACCTCCTCCTCCTCCTCCTCCTCCTCCTTCTTCTTGTTGTACCCCTCTTTACGCTTCGATTAATCTTTCTCTATTTCACTATTTCGCTAATATCTTTGGTGTATCTTCTTCTCGTAACTAGAGTTTATTATTACATTCTTAACTATTATCTTGGTGTGTCAAAACTTCTATAAAACTAAACCTCTCGTTCTATCTTTAGAGATTTTAAAAAATGATTGGTAATTTTTAAACAAATTTAAAAAAAAAAATCTCTCTCTCTTCTAACGTTTACCTACGCAAAGAGGAAGATGATGATGATGATGATGATGATGGCTAAGCGTGCGAAAAGCAAAGAGGAAAATGACACTCTCTTCATCGCTTTCACTTCACTTCACTCAAGGAAGAAACCGGTTTTTCCTTAATAATAACGAAGAATTTAACCCGTTCCTTCGTATAATATTCTCGTGACTTCAACGAGTTAATCTCTGACTTTTTAGAATTTTTTTTCTTTTTTTTTTTTTCTAAGTTAGTGATAAATGTGGAAATAATCCCAACGACTCCTTGAGTTTAGATCATCCGAGTATCAGAGACGAGATTCTCGAAAAGAGAAGATCAGATTACACCTGTACATCCACCACCATCACCACCACCACCACCACCACCACGGTGCAACGATCTAAGTACTTGGATAAAATAAAATAGAGGTAACAATCGACTCGACCATTCGCAACATCCTGAACGATTCGTGATTCCTATTTTTTTCTTTCTCTCTCTCTCTCTCTCTCTCATGTAGCGCGTTGTTAACCCTCTCCACGGGTCTTGATCGCACCGTCTGCCTGCCGAGGCGCGATAACTCCTCGAAAAAAAAGAAAAGAAAAGAAAAGAAAAGATAAGAAAAAAGAAATAGAAAAAGAAAGAAACAGCTGCGCGATATCTCGATGCAATCATCTCGCTCGTTGAAACGACGATGAATCTGCATTATTCAAAGAACGGCACGTGGTATGATAGATACCACTACATATATATGTACATATATATGTATATATATATAGAGTTAGGTATAGGGCCGCCAATACAAAGAAATAAACGTTAAGGAAACTTTGCGTCTTTTCGTACGTCATCGTTTCTCTACTCTAGCAATACACTTTGCAACCCCCCGTTGTGATCTAACGTCTTTTTCGATACCAATTATTGCTTACGATCGCACGTTCTCGATATTCTCGCAATATACAAGGGGGCAACTAGGATAGGTTCTCTTTCCTCTATAGAACACGTCCTACGGAGCGGGCGCGTGGGAACGCCTTACAGATACTGCTCAAAGCTTTTCTTCGTTCTATTCCCACGTATCGTGGACCATGGACGATAGTGGATGGACACATTTTATAGATCACAAAAGAACAAAATAAATAATTATCTTCCTACGATCTTATTATCTTTCAATAACGACGTTAAATCAAAATATTTCAATAAGTCAATCTTTTTTATGTTAATTTTTGGTATTGGTGTATTATGATGAATGTTCCGTATAACTATATCTATATCTACTACCTAGGGTTATTGGTAAAAGGAGAGATTCGTCTGAGAAAAGTCTACCGTGCAACGATAGATAAATCTCGGCTTGAGGCGCACACCACAATACTCAATCCATCGTCGATTACAATATATAGAGCGGTCCAAAATTGATTTCATAGAGAATTACTTGGCGTCGGTGGTTATACTAACTGAAAGAGAGAAAAATAACATACCTGACCGTCCACAATTTTTACAAACCAATCGAAGATTCGATTTAAAGTGACGTAATTCCTTCCAACTGAATCTCTTATAAGTGCGAAATTTGCTGCACCCGCGATCACTCTCGATCGTTGCTTTCACGTGCGAGATCGAAGAAATCGCCTATCTCAGCTGCGCTCACCACCCATTACTTTGGAACTCGGTAGATATATTCGTTACGCAAGTTAACCCGTGTCGGATCTAGGAAGCGAGAAATTTGGAAACGTTTTCTTGCACAATGGTTTCTCTTTCAAAATGTAAAAGGTCTACTTTACGTTTGATTAAACTATAAAAAAAAAACAAGAAAAAAAAAAAACAGAAAAAAACAGAAGTAGTCGGGAATTATTATTTACGCTTAGCACGAATATTAGTTTTTTTTATTATATTTTTCTTTCTTTCTTTTTTTTGTGTGTGTGTTTTTTTTTTTTTTTCAACGAATAAGATGCGTATTAACTAAAGAAAAAAAAAACAAAAGTACCACTCGAGAGTCAATTTTTGTATATGAAATAAGTGTCACACTTTATCGTGAACGATGATCGATCGAATAAGATCAAACTCAAATAGCTTTCTTGCACGTCCGACAACACACCACCACAACCATGGGGCACATCTTTCCGATCGAACGAACATCGACAACGTGGGTAGATACGATGGTGACATAATATTTCTAAAGGATGTAGTACGGAGATATTCAGACGCGTTGTGTGGTGTTCTCCTTTGACGCGCACTTCCTCATTTATGTAATACGATTACGCTGCAAAAGCTAAAGGCGCTTAGAGTACCGAAAGTATCGATCCCTTTTATTCCACATTAAGTTCAGCAGCACTTGGTTAATTTTCCAAGAAGGAGACAAATTGCGTGAGCTTTTTCAATTGATCCTCAGTTAAGCAGGTCTCGTTGTTGAAGATGCTTTGATCCTTGTCGACTTTAACTGGCTGCACCATCGTTCCATCTATGCTCCAACCCCTTTCTATAGCTGCCTTTTGGGCATCTTCCAATGCAAGACCCGTCATCGATGCTAGCACCGTTAAACCTAACGACGAGTATGCCTTGGAAATCAGCGTCATCGCTTGCTCGCGAACGCTATCTGAAATGATTGTTCAACATAAGTTCTACGATGTCATTCAAATCTTTTTCTTTATCATCGAACAAATTAATCGATCAAAAAGTGACGCAATAAAATTCGCGGTTTTTTTCGTCCGTTTGGTCATATTCGCACAGATAGAATTTAGTATATAACTCATAAAAGTATTATAATCTAGATAATATTAGAGGATTACCGAAAAGTTATGTCCATTTTTTTTTTTAGAATAAAACAAAAGTATTAAATTTTCATATTTCTTTAATTGACTAATATTCATCAATTATCATTATTTATAATTTCTTATAATAGTGTGATGACAACTTATATATTGCATTTTTACAAAATATTTTATCCCCAGAGACAAAAAATTAAACCGGTGTTTGTCAGAATGGACAGAACTCTCTGGTAAACCTGATATTAAAAAATAATTACAAATTTTACGATATGTAACTGATACAAAGTTTTGTAAATACAAAAGAAACTTATTGACAAACGATTAAAAATAACATTGCGGTATAACAATGCATTAACGGTAATACAATCAAATCTAATCCTTTTTCCACACATATAACCATCTATCAACGTTTTATATAGCTTGAAGTTTAATGTTAAATGTTATTGAGTTCAGGGTTAATGAGTTTAGAATTTATGTGTCTTTCTATCCATCATCATGTATCGTGAAATTCGCTTGCTAATTTTAACCATTTTGATTTTGAATATTTCCAAAACTATTCCAATACTAAATTTGAAATTTAATCCACATAATTATATTATCATAAATTAATATTTAAATAACAATTTGATCCAATTGATGACGAGGATAGTCAAACGGACGAATTTTGGACTCATTCTTTATACGTTTTGTTCTCAAATTGAAATAAAATAATTTAGATGTAATAGATATATATATGTACTATGTAGATATATTATATATATATATATATATATATATATAGGTGTATATATATATATATATATATCTATAGCTTATATA